ATGTTATATTATTTTAATTTTTTTTTACTATCTTGTTTGTATTAATGTATTATATTAATAAATATATTTTTAATTGTATTATAAAATATTGTAATTGCGTAATTTATTGAAGATGTCTTTTTTTGGTTATTTTACATGTTTATCAACTAGTTTTTGTCAAATATGATTTGTTTATCAGCTAACTTATTAGCTAACAATTAGCTTATCAGCTAAGCTAACAGATAAGTTAACTAGTTTATCAACCATTACCTAGCTTAACTAGTTTATGAACCACTACCTAGCTTATCAGATACTTTGCCAAATATAACCTAAAACTTTAAACAATAGGTTGGAAGTAGGGGTGCTGATCAAAAACCCGATCAACCGATCAACCTAATGCGAAATAACTCAACCTGAAGCAACCCGATGTCTAATCGAGTTGTAAAATTTTCAAATCGCAGGTATTGGGTTGATATTGAGTTACTATTATTTGAACTCAACCCAACTCGATGAACCCGATATATTTTTATTTCTTGGATTTAATATGCTTATTGAATTTCTACTAATATATACATTAGACAATTACACTATCACGTATGCTCTTCATATACACATATTTTTAATCTATTCACATATCTATATAACTCATTCGTATATATGTTTAGTAATTGTAAACATGTATATGTAAATTGAAAAAATTAACTGAATGTGATATACGTAATAAGTATGAATAAGTTGTATCAAATGGTTGATGATGAAAACGAAATTATGAGTAAAGAAATAACATATTTAAGATTAGAAAAATATTTTAATGCACCAAAGTATCAACCCGACCAACCCGTACGGTTTGGGTTGGGTTAACCTTGGTTAGGTTGGGTTGGGTTAAGATTTTTCAAACCGTAAGCATTGAGTTGGGTTATTTAAATGTCTTCAACCTGATCAACCTAACCCATTAACACCCGAAAGAATGAAAACGAACAATGGTGGGAAAATGAGCGGGAACAATGGACTAGAATAAAATTGTGTTTTTTTCAATTTTCGATGATAAAACCTGGTTTCTTATAGAGAAGGGAACTTTTAAGTTTTTGGGAAATTCTAATTATTAATTTGATATTTGTTTTTATTAAATTTCAATTTAAAATAATAACTTTTAAATAAGAAATATTTTATTTAAATAAAAATCTATTGAAAAGCGCCCTATAAGTAGTAAAATAATTTGATTTTGGACGAAAAGATATTGATTTTTTGAAATAGATTGATATATACATAAGTTCTATCACTGTTATGAAAATAAAAACATCATGTTTTATCATATTTGAAATGTCAAGATCAATAAGTTTTGCAATCACAATAGAGATCAGTAAGTTTTACAGCCATAATAAGCTTTTATTGGGCCTTTATGAGCTTAAGTGGCTCTTAATGAACTTAATTATGTTTGGATGGACTGTAGTGGCTCTTAAGTATGGTGGGTCGTATTGGATTTCATGAATCTTAATGAACTGTACATACTGGATTTCATCGGTTACGGTGGTGCTTAATGAACTTGATTGGACCTTAATGGGTCGTATTGGACTTAATAGTTGTTAGTGAACTTTAATGGGTCTACATGGCTTTCAGCGGTTATTAATAAATTGTATCGGGTCGTGATTGACTACAATGGGTAGTAATGAATTGTATTGTGCCTTGATTTGTCGTAATGGACTTGCTGTTGTTAAGGAACTGTAATGGGACTTAATGGGTATTAGTGGCTCTTAATGAATTGTATTTAGCCTTTTATGAGTTGATGTACTCTTATATAAAGAAATTGATTAGGTTTGTAATGGGTTTAGATGGACCATATTGGACATAATGACTCTTAATGAATTGTAATGGATTTCATGGGCTTTAATGGCTCTCAATTAACTTGATTGGACCTTGATGGGTCATATCGACTTAATAGTTGTTAATGAATTGTATTGGGCCTACATGACTTTCAATTGTTATTAATCGTTCATCATTTGCAACTGATTAGCTATGAATTTTATCAAGTTTTATTTTGATTTTTGAAATATCAAAAGTAACTAAATATTAGATCCATAGCAAAGCCGTAGAAAATATAGTTTCTTTTGAATATTAGCGACAAATTTACAAATACATATTTAAGTTCAGTTTTCTTGTTTATTTAAAAGATAATGATTTTCTTTCTATGTCGCTAATCATTAACAAATATATACATGTTGCCACGGATTATCGACAGATCATACATGCATCTCGAAAAATGTGAGTGAAAATTAAAAAAATGGGTTGTCGCTTATCCGTTACAAATTAGAGACAAATCGGTCCGTAACAAATTATTGGTTGTTGATACCCAATTTTCTAGTAGTGTGATGGTTTTTTCCGACGAATTAACAACGAATTTTTATATCGGTGAAGACTCTTTGTTTTGCAGTGTTATTTGCTGAGTTGTCAAATAACCTCGAGCATCTTGTGATTCGAATACGCGATAATTACGTTGACGATTTTTGTTTATTATAAAAAAAGTAACTCTCAAAACATATGTTGCTTTTCCTAGATGAACATACTTTCCTTCAATTATAATGTGTCCGTAACGTACCCGTTACATATATAGAAATAGATTTTCCATGTAAGGTGATCTAAATCGCTATCAATACGATGCGGGGCTGATTTGCTGACTGTAACGGACCCCCTAAAAAGAGCGGGGAGACCTTTGCCTGGGGTTCTGTCCCCTTTACAAAAAAAGGGTCTCACTTTTTACACTGTCACCTGATTAACATAACCACTTGGTTTGAAAAGCATGTACCAATGTAGTAAGCCTGAAGCTTATAACTTTTAATGATCCAGAAACTTACAGCATCACATTTCTTTCACCACCAATAATCTTTTCATGTCATTCTTGTGATGAAGAGCATGAGAAAAAACATCACATACACATGAATTTGATGTTTTTTGGCATATTCCGTTGTTCACCATCCATGACGCAGACTCACAATTTCGATCAGCATCTACCAACTCGTATATCTAAAGAGTCACCTTTGAGGATATATATATATGTGTGTGTGTGTGTGTGCGTGCTATGTATATATTTGGACTTCAAATTCTATCCCACATCAACCAATTAACTCTTTGTAAAATCTGAAGTCTTTATCAAATGGAAAACTCCAATGGCTTCCTTTCAAAAACTTCCAAGCCTTGTCCTGATTTCCCAACACAAGATAGCCAAAAACCATATCCATGTACAAGTGGAATGAGGAATTCTGAGTCTCCTGTATGCCTAAACTTATTTCCAGTTGCTGTTTCTTCTATACATCCCATACAGCCATTACATATACCAGAGTCTGGTGAAAGTAAAAAATTGCAAGCTAAGATAGCAAGATCAAATAGGAAAAAGGCACGTGAAATGACCACAAACAAGACGATAAACCCATCCATAAGTTCTTCATTATCTAGCCCATCATCTTCCATTAGATCTGCTATCATAAAAAGCACAAAACCACACAAGAGTAGTGATCAAGACCACTGCATCTTTTATACCCCAAATAAAGTGGTATCTTTTCTTTTGGATTCATAGAAGTTTGGTATACTAAATGCTGTTTAATTTGCTACTTTCTTCGTGTCACTAACCTTTTCTTTTATATGGTAACAGAAGCTTAGTTTCGTGCTGCAAAAATTGCTAACGCATAGCGATGTTAAAGAGCAAAGTAGAATCTTGCTTCCAAAGGTGAGATTGAGTATAAACCTTGTTAGAATCCCAGCTAATTACAATATTAGACTGCAAACTAGTAAACATGTTCTAAATTCCATTCTTACAAGAACTATCAATCAGTATTTCAGATTTTGAAATTTCTGATGAATATCATATATCTGTGGATGATGGTTTTTAGAGCTTTCTTGCTGTGTCCTTGATTATCATATACAATCACAGAGGGAAGCGGAGGAAAATCTACCTCGCCTTGATTCTAAAGAAGGAATCCGAATAGTAATGAAAGATGTTGTTTCCAATGAAGAGTGGAAAATGCAATATAGGTGCATTACCATCATCTTAAATTTCAACTGCTACCATTTATCCAACAATTTTCGAATATAATGAGTGCTTACCGTGAAGATATTTCTTTTTCGTTCATAAAGGTTTTGGGCAAATCAGAAAGGTAGAATGTATCTTCTTGATCAAAGCGGTAAGTACTGTACAAATTCGTTTCAGGTAAATTCGTTCGTATATATTGATGTTTGTGGTGGGAGCAAATTAAGTTGATATACATTTAGTTATCTCTATTACTTGCAGGTGACTTTGTGAAGAAAAATAAGTTGGAAGTTGGAGACCAGCTGAAACTTTACCAAGATGAACTTAGGAATCTTGTAAGTCCCATGGTGTATTACAAATTGTTTTCTACATAAAGATTACTCCATCTTCATTGTTTCATGTTTTTTACTTGCGTCTGCGTTCGTTTTTCATGATAAGCTTACTGGAATTATGGTCGGAAAGTTTATAAAGAACGAGCCACACTTTTACTTCTATATTCGTTAATTTGCAGTATTTCACGATTGCGAGAAAGGAAAAACAGGCAGCATAACCTTCCATTGCAAGAGAACATACATTACATTGAAGAGGAAGACTAGTTTTTCGGGACACTTCTGGATGATCATAAAACATAAAGAAGACAGTGAAGCTTGGTTATATGTTGCACAAAGGCATGTGACAAACATTGTTTAAGTGCACAAGTGAGTATATTATTACCCCGTAATGTCATCAGTGGCCTTTCGCGAGTGGTTTAGCATCAAGCTTAACAACTCGTGTTGTAGGAATTTTCATAGCTAAGCCGTTTTCTAGCTTAAATTTCTTCGAAAGGTCTTTAACATATTTTATCGAGTTATAGAAATTCATTTTGAAGATTGTTTAACTTGTAAACCAAGGAAGGTTAATTCTATCATCATGCGTAAACCAAGGAAGGTTAATTCTATCATCATGCTCATAGGCCATCAAAAAATCTTAAACCGAAAATGACTCGCCTGAACCAAAATGGTTTCGGGTTATTTGTTTTGCGGGT